ATAAAATATAAACTGTCTTTGTGTATGTGTGTGAGAAACAATAAAATGTTGTGATATGTGTGTTTGTATGAAAAAGTCAACATGTGTGTGCGTGATTCAGAGTAAAAACGGATACGAGAGATACGAATTGTTTCTTACTGTTGGCGGTGTTGCCATGGTCTGGAGTTTGTCAATGCTGTCGTTTTTGACATGAGGTCATGAAGGTCATCAGCGAGAGGTGTGTGGAGTTTGCTGGCAGTCGCGTGTACATTGTTTTGGGAACAGATTTCGTATGTTTTTATACACTTTTTCCGAACAATATCGGCTCCAGAATTAAATTATTTATTTATTCCTAATTGGCCCTAAGAAGTCACGTGGTATGTCTTCTACTACGTCTGTACGATATTTGGTCGGTATCTACCTAAAAATGATGATGACTAATACAACAAACATTCTGATTTGTAATCTATGATTTTATTGGTGTGTTTTAAGATGTAAGTGTTTTCTTGAGTGTGATTGGTTTATAAATATTGTAGTTGATATTTTAGTGGACACAACAACCATAGCCAATAATGAGCATGGAACAATATCAATCATAATCAGATGCATTCTAAATAAACAAGATAAAAAATACTTAAAAAAAAACTCATAAATACAAATATATTCCCCACAGATCTCAGTAAAAAAATAAAATTAATTATACAGTGTAACCCGGATATAAGAGATATTTTCTCTGGTCCCAAATTAGAGCCTGTGTTACCTAAACAAAATAGACCAAACCTGGATATAAGAGAAACCTGGATATAAGAGACTTCTCCGGTCCCAACAACTCTCTTATATCCGGGTTACACTGTATATGATACTAAATTTAATAAAACTTCATCATCTGTAATAACTCTTACCAACCAATAATGTATTGCAGAAAACCAACATTATATATCAATTGAAATGTCCCTTGGGAGACTGCATCTCTGACAAAAAGCTAATGTATATGTTGGTTATTCTACAGTAACATCATCAAGATGGCTCACTCTACACATGAATGATTTATTACCCATTGCACAACATCTGCAAAAACATTCCTGTCCACATTCACAATTTAGAAGAATATTAGTTGACAATATGTGTATACTTGACCAAGAATGTAATAAGCAGAAACTACAAATTCTTGAAGCCATCTTTATTAAAAAATTAAAACCAACACTTAACAAAATTAATTAGGAATATAGTACAAATGTTCTGAAATGCTTACAGTATATAGTTTTTTTTAGAAATATTTGTTAAAACAGTTTTTTTAAAAGAAGCAAGTTATAACCTTCTAACAAGAATTCAATTTTTAACCAATTTACTTCACTTACATAAAAAATTTTACATCGAAAAATTATAAAATCTCTGCATGATTGTAATTGTTAATTGTACGTAGGTTAAGCCGGTCATGTGATATAGGGTTGTGTGCAGTTGAAATTAGCACGGACTACTGCAAAGACGGACATGTCATGGTTGAGTGTTGGTGGCCATAGGTAATAATGAGCAATGGAACATGGTGGCAGTGGTTCATTAAGTCAGTGCTGATAAAACAAAGAAAAGATAAAAGTAGTGGAAGAGAAAACAGATAAGTGTTATTTTTTGTGTTCTTGTTTTGGTATTGTGACAATTTTAACCATGTGGGTCTAGGAAAAGATGATGGACTCAGTTGGAAATGAACTACTTGCTCAACAGCTAGTGCCAAGCATAAAGCCACCCCAGTGTATGAATGGCAATTTAGCAGGAAAATTACCAAATTTCAAGCAGAAGTGGCATACCTATGCCATTATCACATACTTACATGGCTAACAACGACAGTACCAGTGTTACTTCTTGTTGTAGAGTGAATGAAAAATTTTTTTCCTCCATATGAGAATGAATCCCTCATCACCAATGTGTTGTAGAGTGGTTTCACAGTGGAGGCTTGTATTCGTACTGAGTCGGTCCTAAAAAGGTTTGACGTACAAAACGTTAGGAACTTGAAATAATAGTTAATGACGCAGCAATCTAGTTGTGGTGGTTGATACTTTAATGCCCGATATCAACTGACAGACCAACTCACTGAGCTCCCTGGCGACTGCTACTACTACTTATTATATGTGGGAGAGTCTATTAACAATAGAATAGGTATGTTCTAGTATAACACTTCTCCAGATACTTACCTGGTACAGGGATCCGTCCCTGTGCTGGTGGTATCATGGCTACGACTAGCTTAGACTAGCTCTGACTAGCTTGGAGAAGCTGTGACCAGCTAAGACCAATTTGGACCAGTAGGCCAAGTGAAAACACTTGGGTCCCCACGTTAAGAACTGACCTTGTGGCACAACCTGACTCAGTGGGTGGGGGTGTCAAGTAAATAACTACTTCTCCAGATGTTGGGTGATCTGTTAAAGGTTTATAACGGTTTTCATTTAGCCACACCCAACAAACAGCAGACACCTGAATAAGTGTTCAACAGGTATGCAATTGGTGAAAGTAATGTCACATATGAACGTTTTGTGTTTCACATAAAGAAACAAGATGATGCCAAGAGCGTAGAAGATTTTATAACTGCTTTGTGGATGCTAATAAAAACATGTGACTTTTGTGATAACTGCAAAGCATCAATACTATGTGACCAAATTGTTTGGGGTTTACAGAACACGCCAAATACAAACAGAACTAAAAGAAATGAGAGAGAATTTCAGAGGAGCATTGTTCAACAGTCTTAAGTTTTAAAACTGAAAACAACTGCACAAGGTTGCTACAAAGACACAAAGCAAAACTCAGAAAAGAATGTTGGTTCTGTACTTCTTGCCATGAATCTGGAGAGGAACAATGTCCAGCTTAATGGAAAAATGTGTCTGAAGTGCTGAAGCAATAGTCACTTTGCAGCAAAAATGCAAGTCAGGGAAAAACAGATTCAGACAGTGCACAGAGCAACTGAGTGAAGATAGTATCGGTAGTCAGTCAGACTTTGAGAACTTGGATATGGTCATGACTGAGGGGAAAGCTAGCAATCTTGAATATGGGAAAAGGAATGAGGAAATAATTGTGTTTCAGCTTGATAGTGAAGCTTCAGTTAACTTGTTAAGTGGCAAACACGTTCATGAGAGAAGACTGGAGCCCTCTGACAAAAATCTGGTCATGTGGAATGGGATAGAATTGAAGCCACTGGGCAAAACCCCAAAACAAAGAAGTATGCCATGAATTTTGTGATTGTAAGAGATAACTTGCATCCACTGCTAGGCACAAAGGCCATACAAAAAATGGGTCTGGTCAGGGTGAACAAAGAGGAGTTTCAAATGTGGGCTAGAGTCCCACAGGGTAAGAGTTAACACACAAAAACTAAGCAAGGTCATACCACATCAATATTGATGGAGAGCTGTGCTGACGAAACCTGATTGACTTTAAAGAAACAGTAGAGGCATCCTCAAGAACATCCATGGAGATTCAGCTTGACCCAGTTCAAGGCGATCATATAGACATTATTTCAGAAAATTGGTCCAAAGAAGCAAATTTGATACCATCATCGGCTATAAACCTAGACAATGGGAGGACTCCAAAAATGTCTCATCAGGATGATTCTGTGAGGAAAAGGCATAACATCAGCAAGACTAAAAAACTAGCAAAGAAAAAGAAAGTTGAGTGAAGGAGCAGTATAATCCCTTTAAGACAAGAGAGCAGTCTACCCTGTGAATGCCTTAGTAATTCATCTCTTACTCATTCCCATTTAAAAAGAGAGAAAAAAAAAGAAAGTCGCTTTTCAAAAGGGGAAATATTTCATGGGATACTGTTTACGTATGCTCAGCCGGTCATATGATATAGGGCAGCAGGTGGTTGAAATTAGCATGGACTACTGTGAAGACGGACATGTGAACTCATATGGTCAAGTGTCAGTGGTCATAGCTGATACTGAGCATAGAATAGTGTCAGCTGAGGTCACTGTGATTACAGGTTGTTTAATCCATAAAATTTTTTTGAATAGGTGTGAGGTCATGTTGAGATGACCTGTCTATATACAGTAGAGATTTTTCAAGTGTAGCTTAGATGTGGCATAAGGCCGAAAGTATGGGGCACCCAGTGAAGATCAAACTCACTACTCAGTCGTAATTGTTCTAGCAAGACCAGCTTTCTAACCATTACACCACCTCGAGGTGCCCTGTCTACATACAGTATATCACCTTGTTTTTCTCTATAGTACATCAGTGTCCCTAACCCTGAAGTCAGCATGAATAGTGTAAATCTCGGATCTCAGTTCTATTGTGGATCAACAATAATTGGATTTAGTGAAATAAATTTTTTATGCTTCCTACCATGGAAGTAATTGACAGTAATAAGTATGTTTCAAAAATCTGCTACAATGGGTTCATGTATATCAAGCATATTACTCACAAAATCAAATCGTAACTTTTTTTTTTGTGATTTTATTATCAACCACGGTTAATTTGTTGTGTACAACAGAAAGAACACATCCTTTCCATATTCTCATGTTTAAACAAAGCAGCAGCATTGTATTCTAGTTGAATCTTCTTGGTATCAAATTGTAAACAAGAACATGAAAAATGTACTTCTCTGATCTATAACAAACATTTTAAGTGCAGTACTAGATTGGCAGTTAAATCATTTTACTGTTGAAATTGCTAAGTGCAAGTTCTATTCTAATAGTTTCTTCTTTCACACTTACTTGTAGAACTCTCTTCCAGTTTATTACTTTCCTGTCAATTATAATCTTCAAAACTTTAACTGCAACATCAATTGCTATCTTGCTAATTCTTGTTCCCTTGTCTTTTCTCATTAATGTTTTCTTTTCATTTTCATTCACTTAGTAATCCCTTGCATAAAAAAAAAAAAAATCACATGGCTTTGTTTGTTAGATTATTTTCTTCTGTCTTATTGAATACTGTTCTTTTATTGTTTTTTCTAATCAATAAGGATTTCTTCAGTTTCTGCTACTTTCTTACCTCTCAGTGGTTATATTCCTTTGCTTGGGGGTGAAATTAAAAAAAAAAAAAAACTTATAGAAATTCAATCTCATAAGGAAAGAAAGTCACAACTTTTCGGATAGGAAAGAAAGTCGCAACTTTTCGGATAGGAAAGAAAGTCGCAACTTTTCGGATAGGAAAGAAAGTCGCAACTTTTCGGATAGGAAAGAAAGTCGCAACTTTTCGGATAGGAAAGAAAGTCGCAACTTTTCGATAGGAAAGAAAGTCGCAACTTTTCGGATAGGAAAGAAAGTCGCAACTTTTTAGATAGGAAAGAAAGTCGCAACTTTTCGGATAGGAAAGAAAGTCGCAACTTTTTCGGATAGGAAAGAAAGTCGCAACTTTTCGGATAGGAAAGAAAGTCGCAACTTTTCGGATAGGAAAGAAAGTCGCAACTTTTCGGATAGGAAAGAAAGTCGCAACTTTTCGATAGGAAAGAAAGTCGCAAATTTTCGGATAGGAAAGAAAGTCGCAAGTTTCGATAGGAAAGAAAGTCGCAACTTTTCGGATAGGAAAGAAAGTCGCAACTTTTCGGATAGGAAAGAAAGTCGCAACTTTTCGGATAGGAAAGAAAGTCGCAACTTTTCGGATAGGAAAGAAAGTCGCAACTTTTCGGATAGGAAAGAAAGTCGCAACTTTTCGGATAGGAAAGAAAGTCGCAACTTTTCGGATAGGAAAGAAAGTCGCAACTATTTGGCTAGGAAATAAGTCATAACTTGGTTTTGTGAGTGACATGTTTGGTATTCATGAAACCTATTGTAGCAGATTTTTGAACATATTACTGTTTTGCAGGTGTAAAAAATATTTTTCATTAAATCTAACTATTGCTGATCTACAACAAAAGTGAGATCAAGAATATCACTATTCACATTGTCGGCTGGGGTAGGGTTAGGATTATGGATGCTGACATACTGTAAAAAGCTTATATACTGTATGTAGACAAGTCATCTCAACATGACCTGCTTAAAAGTTTTTGCAGGATTAGCCTTAAGTCCTGCCAATGCAGGTTGAATTTAAATTTCTTGGTTGTGTAGTCATAGCCTTTCATGACAACACCTAAAACAATCTTGATTGAATTTGAGAGCCAGGCTACTGAAATTTAAAATATATAGAACTAATATATAAAACACTATATTTTGAGGGGATTCCATGTATAATAAAAGAGGAAGTAACATTTATAAGTGACCTCATTTGAATTACCTTAATCCTTCCAGGTTTATGCTGCACCAATTAGACAAAGATCTAATGTCTTTGTTCTATTTTACAATTTTGAAGCAAAACTTATTAATTTACCTTAAAAAAAATTAATGATTAACCTTAGACAGTGAGAATTTGATAGTTAACCTTTCTATTAAAGATGCAGAAACAATGCTTACATTGTCCTGTTTCATTTTTTTGGTGACTTTTTTTTTTTTTTTTACCCCGATCCTAACCAAAGATTGTATCAAGTAAAATTAAGAAACATTGTTGTAATGACATTATATCTACCTTTACTCAGCAAAAGAAAATAAATAATAAACAATAAAAATTTTGCATACAAATTTATTGCATATCACAGAAAATAGCCAGTACATTTTAACAATTTAGAAATTAACTTCCCCTCCATGAGTTAATGTTTTATTCTACTTTTTTCTAAACTAGCAATTCAAGCAAAATGTCATTTAGACTTCACTCTTCCCACACATCGCCATATTTATTTGTTGGTGCACCTGGAAAATAAAATATATTAACACTTGACAACTAAAGAATAAGTTTTGTATCATTAATAAAACAGTAATGCTATTATAAAAGTTCATTCTTAAATATTGAAAAAGAATTTGTCTTAGATCTCATTTTTTTCTACTAAAGCTCAATTCAACATAAGACTCAAGAGCTGCTCAAGGTAGAGTTATTGAAAGAAGTGTGTAATATGAATAAAAGTGGAAGTGGTATGAAGTGAAGATTATCATCATAAAAAGGATAATTAGTGATTTAGACTGTAGTGTTAAGGGAAGCACCTATGTGGGAGTCTGTTCCCAAGAACTTCTACTTTGTGGAACAGAGTCCTTCATGTATGTTTCCCTGAATAATTGTCATACAAAACATAAATGAATGGAAGTGGAGTTAAGGAGAGTTAGCATTAGGTCAATGGCTAATTGTACCTTTGTGCAGTAAACCTCCTATTTCATTACTTACCTATGAGTTGGTTTTCCTTATTTATTTTTCTCTGTTATCTTAAAAACACAAGATACAATAATACAATCTTAATCTCTTCATGTCAAGGGTCAACTGCTATCAGCGTTATCTTCATAATCTTCCTTTCCTACCATCTTTTTCACTCACATTGCACAGCTCTATTAATAACACCCTACCCTGAGTGGCTCTTGAGCTTTGTAATGGGTAAAAAAATAATTTAAAAAAATGAAACAATTAGTAGATAATATTTTGAAGAGCACAAAAAATATACCATCACTAACAAATTTATTTTCCCTTTCAAAAGTAAAGAAAGATACATATTTGAATGTTACTATTTTTATAAGTTCAGTTATTGTTGTTATGTCTGGATATTACTTATTTCTGAGCACACCTGTTTGTCAGGGCAGCTAGCCACACCCTATAACAAATACCTATTCAATCCCCAGGATACACCTGTGGTTTATACTGCAATTATGCTTAGCAGACCTTAGTTACAGTTCCTGGGAGAGAACACATTATCTGACATGATCAATTTCCTGAACATGGCCAGTACACTCAAAACCTTGGTCAGGATGACTTGTAACCTTGTACTAGCACAACAAGGTAATAGAAGGCTACAGCTGTTAAAATGTTTAATTTTTAGCTGTTAGTTTAAATTGCAATGAGATGATTGTTGTCTGACTTTAACAACAATATTTAAACTTTAACAATATTATCATAATATTAGGAAAAAACATTTTTCTATAATAAATCATTTGCAATGAATTTGATAAAGTACAATGTTATGAATGCTTCCGAAAATGCTAGTTTTCATTTAAATGATTAGAAGATAACCTTTAATCCTAAAAAAAAATAGATCAGCCTAGATTTGGAGTTGCTTTATTTTGTTTAACGGCATATGAACTTCAATGGGTTATTTAATGCCGACAACATTTTTAGGATAGATTCATATGAATAGAGTGTATTCTTTGGTGTAGATTGGTTTGGTTTATTTTGTTTAACTGCATATCAACCTCAATGGGTTATTTAATTTTGACAAAATTTTTTATTGCTGGTAATATTTTGTTTTGTCAAAAATCTGTTTCTGGTAATATATTTCCTTCAAAATTGTATTGCTGGTAATAATTTTTTTTAAAAAAGTATTGCTGGTAATAGTTAACTATTTGCCCATAGCTGGGACCCTAACAGGTGCTACCACCCCAGGTCAGGGTGGACCCGGGAACACCAGCAATTAAGAGGTGGTTCCACGTGCCTCAAAACCTCCTGATCAGAGGCCTTGCTGCTGGACGTAGTTTAACATCTTACCCAGGACGCGGATCAGCCTAGGGTTATTATCCTAACATATGGCACCATTAGGAAGTATCTGAAAAAGGTACCATGGGGTGACCTAAGCCTTGTGAGTGAAATCAGGTAGATAGAGCTATTTGTAAGTTGTTGATGGTTGTGCTAACACAAAGTTGTAAGTCATTGTGACCAAGGGCCTGAGCACATTGGCCTTATTTAACTGTTGATCATGCCAGATTATGCCCTCTCTTCCAAAAACCGTAACTAATGTCCACAATATAAACTATAGCTGGGTTCTGCTGGTGTTGAACAAACACAAATGTGCCTGAGCACATGTCTGCCACAGGGATTGTTTAGTTGCCTTAGCAGATGGGTGTGCATAGAAACAAGTAACTGGCCATTATAAGAAAAACTAAATCTCTGTAATAGAAAATGCTATAAACAATCTTACGTGGTTGAGTTGTACTATAAGATGGTGTCCACTGAGAACTTTTTTCTTCAGGAGTTTGTGATATATTAGGTTGTGGATTTCTATTTTTGTTTTGGATATTCTGCCATTTCACTACTTGATTTTCACTATATATTTCCCTGTTTTGACGACGAAGATCACCATAAGACCTGTACTGTGATTCCTGCTCCCCGGAATTACCTGAAAGAAAAAGTTAAAATTCATAAATAAATCCAAATAAATCTTCATTATAAAAGAAGAGATGGGTAAACTTCGACTTTCGTGTACCCCACTCACAAGTGTCAAAAGGACATTTTTTTCCTCTTGAAACTGCTACTATTTTAACTACTTTCATTCCTCAGCAGTGTTTATTGTCTTAAAAAGTGATGATTAGAATTATAATAAAACTTGTCAGTACATATGATGAAAATGAATTTATACATTTTTTCTTTAGAATTTACAACAAAAAATATTAATGACTGTTTATTAGATTGTCTATTTACAAGGATATTTTTAAAGTTACAACATTCTAAAAACTATCAGTATTATGTATGATTAAAATATTTTTTTTTGTATCATACTAGTCAACTGTCACTTTGATGGCAGCAAGATAATCAAATTTCAAATCTAAATATTTTGTCCATTTAAAATACTACATTTATTAGAAAATATATTCAGTCGTAAAAATGACTTCAAAGAGCCACACATTTTGGCTTAGTCTTTTCCCGTTACCAGGAGTTGTCGCCAGACCAAAAGAGAAATTAGCCTTCCTGAGACAAATGTCCATTTCAATTTATTTTTAAATTGTGTTTATTTTCATGTATATTTTAATTCAATGACAAACATAAAAAAGACAACAAATACTCTTGGGAAAGGTATGAATCCATCTCACAACCCCCATTTATGGGTTAAATAGCAGGACTGATTGGGCTCCCTTCCCTGGATGTAGTAGCCAGTTTAGAAGAAAACTTTGAATTCAAAACCAACCAGGCTATCCTTCCATAGACACAGCACAGCAGTACCCTAATGGGTTATGTGACAATGAGAATGCTGATAAGAGAGATGTAATAAACTATACTAATTAAAAAAAAAATCCTTTACTTTGATTGATTTCTGATTATTGAAGAGTAATGAACGTTTAACTCACACTTTTTCTTTCTTTCTTTTTTTCTCTTCTCTCATATTAAACTACTGATGTTTTCTCTTCCTTTTTACCTTCTCTTTAATTATGTCCATTCTATTTGCTATAATTAAATTTTGAACCTCCAATAAGATCTTCACAATAAATTAATAAATGAACAAACAAACCTGATGAGAGATCTTCAAATTTAACTGTACTTGGTGCCACTTGATTAGTCTCTGTATCAAACGCATCAGAAGCAGTATGTTCAGTTTGTGGTACTTGAGGATTTTCTAACATATCACTACTTACACTTTTCATGGTAAATTCTGAAGGTCCTCTGCAAAATAAAATTACATTTTTACTTTATTGCTATAAAAACAGAGCATTTTAAAACAATTTTTTTTTTAATATTAAAAGGAAATTTCTTATTGATACTATTTATATTCAGACTATTGTCCTCATTTTGGTTGTTGTTATGACGTTTTGGCTATTGTGCCCTCTAGACTTCATTAAATGTATATTAACCTACAGGGAATTCGGAATTGAACCCTTTATTTAATCTACAAAGGTAGACTGTTCTCATTCCACTGCCTAAGGATATCTTATCTAGTTCTTATTTTTAGTATTGCTCAGTTATTGCTTGCCCTGTAGGTTACCAGGATAAATATATTTTGTTCATTCTGGGGGTAAGAGGCTAGGATTTTTTCTGAAATCCAGGTAAAAAAGAGAGAGAGAAGAAAGAAACAAGACTAGCACACAGAGACAAAATCCCAGCCTCTTAACCCAAAAGCAAACAAAATCCCAGCCTCTTAACCCAAAAGCAAACAAAATCCCAGCCTCTTAACCCAAAAAAAAGCAAACAAAATCCCAGCCTCTTAACCCAAAAGCAAACAAAAATCCCAGCCTCTTAACCCAAAAGCAAACAAAATCCCAGCCTCTTAACCCAAAAGCAAACAAAATCCCAGCCTCTTAACCCAAAAGCAAACAAAATCCCAGCCTCTTAACCCAAAAGCAAACAAAATCCCAGCCTCTTAACCCAAAAGCAAACAAAATCCCAGCCTCTTAACCCAAAAGCAAACAAAATCCCAGTCTCATACATAAATTGAAAATTGGAATTTTTATTCAAATTTTAATATCAAATTAAGATTTTCTTCTGATAAAGTTGGTTCTTATGAGAGAGTATAGCTCCCTAAATATGAAATATATTGAATAATTGACTGTAGCATTGTAAGAAAATGATTTTTTATGGTTTAATCTATCTTTGTATACAATCTCCATTGTTTATGTTCTGGTGCAATTTTTAAAAACACCCTTTTTTTGTGACTTTTTTCTTTTGACTTTATTACCAACTACAATTCATACATGAAAATCTGCATGTATTATTTTCTTTAAAATACATTCCAACATTTTTGGTTACAAATAAAAATGTTTGTAAATTTATGATAAAAATTATTAATATATATTTAATTAAATCCTTGTCTAATATTGGTTAAAACTCTTTTATTCATATAGTTTCATACACATGAAAATATCACTTTGTAATCATAAATAGGTTATACTAACCTATATTTATGAAATGTCATAATCTTGTATTTAATTGATAGCTGCCAAATGAATATTAAATTTAATAAATAAATGATGCTATTTGCTATTTTGAATTCAGCTGGGTGATGTTATTTTTTTTCTGGTATAGAATTTAAGATTTTGAATCAGCCTGAATAAACTTTAAAATAATTTTATATGTAATAATAAGGAAAACATGAAAGCCAATAAAATAATATTTTAATTTTGCTAATCTTAGTGTACAAAATTTTAAACAAACTCAATGTTTTGAGCATAATAAAGAATTAGAAGATAATTTAGTAGAATACATATGGCAAAACATTTTAAGCAGTTTTATATGAAAATGAACATTTATGAAAGCATACTGGTAAGGGAGATAACCAAGTGAAAAAATTACCTTTCCCTAGATAGACGTTGTCTTAATGTTTCTGCAAGTTGACTATTTGGGAGAGCCATAATTTTTTTACGGCATTCATTTTGGTATGATATTTTACCCAAAATGTATCCAAGCAATGCAGCACCTTTAAAGTGGGAAAATAAAAAATAAATTATTAATAGCTATCAAAACAAACATTACAGGAGAAACATTAACTAATAATCATAAATTTAGAGAAAGCTGTTTCTAAAATATATTTCAAGTGTGTTTTTTGTTACAATAGAATATTTTTGAAAATTTTTACTTCCCAAAATAACTTTCTGGATTCACTTTTCAGTATTTTGAAACACTATCGATGGCTTTTTTTATTGCATATCAGCACCTCAATGGGTTACTTAATGCTGACAAGATTTTTACAATAGATTCATATGAACAGAATATGTATTCTTTGTAAGAAATTGGTTTGTAGATGTATTTTTGTAAACAGGATTTCTCTGTCAAGTGTCTGGTTTCATTGATGTATTTTTGGATATACAGTTTGTAGAGAAATTGATTTTATTGACATTCTCATTTCGTCTATATTTATTGGTAGAGTTCAACTATTTTAAGAAACAATATTATATCATCCACTTTTGTTTTCTTGAAGAGCTCATAAATGTTTATATTATAGAAGTTTTGTCTTGAGAGCAAGGTCTGAACACTCGGTTAATATATGTTTAATAGTGTATGTTGTTTCACATGCTAGGCATACTGGTTGATCTTTGTTGCTTAGTAAGTACAAATGCGTTATTTATTTGGTTTATTTTTTGAAAGACAACTTCTATTCTCCAAGTTTGGGCTGAATTGTGAAAAGCTCATTCTGTTATCCCAGTCCCATTGCCATTCCTTTTGAATGTATTTGTTAATGACCTCCTTAAAGTCAGTATATGGGATTTTAGTCATTGAATCTACATCTAAAGCTGATTTGGCTGTTAGGTTTGCTTTATTAACTTCCACTCTGATGTGGCTACTGATGATAGTTTCTTTCAAAAATAATATTTATTTTATTTGAAAATCATAAAATCAAATTAATTCTCAGACAATAAAAAAAACCCCCAAAAAACAAAAAAACAAAAACAAAAAACAAATTTCAAATTTAATATTCAGATTCAGGTGTTTTTGCTTTTTGTGGTAATTGTGTTAATTATTTATTATGAACTGTTCCATATAATTTGGTGACAGCAATTGTGAGTCCAATCACTGGACTAGAAAGAGGGTGATCAATAACTGAGTAGTACAAAATAAAAAATAACATGAGCTACCTCTAGACATAGGCTGTGAAATGAGAACAATCTACCTTGTAGATTAAATAAAGTGTTTAGTTTTGGATTTCCCTGAAGGTTACCCAAATCAACAAACATCTGAAGAAGGTCAAAGAACAAATGACTGAAACATTGTGATAATAAAATCAAAGACATTAGCTTGAATGTAAATAATGTACATCAAATTAAGATCTCATGCAATCAAAAGCAGAAAGCTGTTGAATTCTAGATTATTTCTCACTAAATATTCTTGTGTCTCTGACTTGTGCCAATTTTTGTTTAATATGCACACTTCTTTATTATAACAACACTTATAGTATGCAATGCAGAATTATTATAGTATCATAGCTGACAAGACTGTATATATGTTATTGCTTTCATGTGGCCTTTGTTTTCTTACTGAAAAGCCATATATAGATTACTAAAATAATGGTACTGAATTTGTCTATATCTCCGAGATGAGGTATTATGATTACTTGCATTATTTACATTACTCTGACTGTTATTCTGTTATCTTAAACATTGTGAATATGGCAATGAAGATGAGGATAACAGTCAGAGTGCTGGTACTGAATTTGTTTTGTAAATGACTTTTTGGTCTAAGTTAGAGAAGTTTAAATTTATCCTTGCTGGATAAATTTCTCAACTCATCTAACACTCAGCTCACCAAACACCAAGAGTCCTTTTTTAATTTTGGCACTAGATTCCTAAAATGTGTATTGCCATTATTTTTTGTTAATGAAATTTAGGAAATAAATTTGGGTCCTGTGAGAAGTTTATTCAACAAAGAAATATAACTGATGTGAAGTAACTGGACCATGGATAAATTTCTACAACTTGAGAAGCTTGGAAGCAGCCTTAATTCAAGTTCTGTTGCTAAGGAATGGAAGCATTCATGTATTATATTTAACAATCTCCTCCACAGTATTAAGAACATTTACCAGCCTGAATGTTCGAGAAATTTAATGGGAAATATATATATATATATAATTTAATTTTTTCATATAGACAAAAACAATTTACTCACTACAAAGATGCAACTTCATTTCAGTGCATTTAAAATTGCACTTTGACAGGTGAGAACCAAAATGGTTATGAACAATGAACAGAATTGTTTATAATCATTTTGGTTCTCACCTGCTGAAGTGCAATTTTAAATGCACTGAAACTAAGTTGCATCTTTGTAGTAAGTAAATTGTTTTTGCCTATATGAAAAAATGATAATAAATAATTATTGCTCTATCGGTATTGAGCCTTCTTTTGAATTAATGCTGTGAACATTAGAATTTACATATTATTTCCATACTCATATATATATATATATATATACATGAAGATCAAAAAAGTTGCGGTTTGTCAGTATGCATTTTATGGTGAATGGCTTTTGGCATGTCACACCTGCTATTTTTAGGATATACAAATGCATTATGGTAGTCTGTCGAATGTGGAGCCTGGACATAATCCGTTCTCTTTTGGTTTGGCATTTCAGATGCCATTCTTCTACAGTTGGTTTAATTTTAAACAGTTTTTTGTTGTTTTTTTTGTTTGTTTTAATAAAAGTTCAGGATGGAGTAATGGATAGTGGCTCCAATAAATTGGAGAGCTAAGTTCAAATTGCAGCCAAGTTGTTTGTATTCATTTATGTGTTAATACCCTGGGGGAAAGGTATGAATCTATCTCTTCTCACCCCACCAATTATGGATAAATATCAGAACAGACTGGATCCTTATAGACTTGAGTGGCAACCAATCTTTGAGAAGGACAACTCTGAATTTAAAACCTGATAAAATAGAGTAGATTGGGCTCTATAGCCTTGGATGGCAACCAGTCTAGGAGAAGGAAAACTTGAACATTAATTTCTACAAATTAAATTCAACTTGGAAGAAAATGATTAATTAGTAACATAAGACAGAAAAATTAAGGAACTTAACTTTTAAGAAAAAAAAAAAAAAAAAAATTTTAACCACAAAAAATTATTCCTATATTAGAAATATCATGTTTTTTTTGTTTTACCTCCATTTTGTAATTGTTACTAAAAGTAACGAAAATAAAACACAGATATACTTACCTAATGTTTTTAATCCAGCACCATATTTTGGATGTGGTTTAAGGTATCCTGGAAATGAATACAAAATATTAATAGTTAGCAAGTCTACTTAAACACTGTTTTAACCAGTTTTTTTTTTTATCACATTTTATACTCTATATATATACACACACACACACACACACAATTAAGCTTTTTTCTTGTGTTCGTACAAGCATTTATTTTCTTTTCTGGACACAAAAAAATTATGTAAACATTATCCAAAAGTTCTGCTTATTTGAGCGATTTTGTCTATAGTTTCAGCCATTAACAAGGATGATTTTTATTTTTCATTTTTAACTGAAAGTGAGCTTTTTTTTTTTGCTCCTAAAATATATATATATATATATATATATATATATATATATATATATATATATATATATATATATATATATATATATATATATATACACACACATTTTAGAAATATGTTTTCTTTTTGTATTTATCTGTTCTTTTTTGCATATACATAGTAATTGTTGCTTTCATATGGCAGAAGTAAAAATAAATGGAATATTACAGAGGGTTCCCCAGATCTGTGTAAATAAAAATTCTAGGGCTTTTCCAGGATTATGTTAAAAATTTTTCAGGGACTGTAACTGGTGCGAGCACACACACACACACACACACACACACACACACACACACACACACACACACACACAGTGAATGGTCATCAATTTCTAAAACACAAACTTTGTGATTTATCTCTTAATAGTTTGACAGATAAGATGTTCAAAGAAAAGCTACAGCTGGTTCCAATAATTCATGTCATATGGATCAGTTGAAAGCAGTGAAGAAATCAAAATGTTAAAGGCTAAAACACAACTGAATGAAGACCTGATTATGTTACACATTTTGTGTAGCATTCTACAGTTTGGAGTTCTACTACACTTGAAAATTTTGAATTACTTTAAGTCTTGCTGCTACATATTTCTGATAACTAGATGACTCATGGTTTGTGAATGTCACAAAAATTCTTGATTGTTGTACATTTCCTGTGAAATATAATGGTTCTAATGAGCAGAACTATAAATAAAAATTTTCACACATTTTAGCTACCCTAACTACTCATGACTTTTGTTGCTCAGATCACAGAACATAATAATGTTAATATTTTTTCAGTTCATCTAGTTTAGCATTCAGCTCCTCTTCCAATTTTGATATCTCTATGGAGTTGTCTTTTGCAGATCTTTGCATGGAATTAGACTTTGTGAAGTTCTGAGCCTGCTCAACCTTTTCTTACAAGGTTGTGTTTTTTGGTTTTCAGTTCTTCAAATTCCATAAGCATGGATTTCCGTTTTTGTCCAGCTGCTTCTTCCTGCCTTTTTTTCTTCCCTGCACCTCCAATTGCGGCCAAATAGTTTGTGATAAAGGGCTGTGCAACCAGAGCCTGCTGTGTCATATTGTCAGCGGAAATTTTCTTATGGACTCAGAAGCCTCTCTCTACTGAGGCCAGTCAATTACCTGTAATCTGCTAACAACTATCCAGTTTTTGATATTTTTTGTTATTAGACAAAAAAAAAAAAAAAAGTGCCCAGCCGGTTTTCATGCTTGCTGAAATTCTTGAAAGCAATATTTCCAGTAGCCTCTTCCACAAACTCTTTGTACTAATTGATGATGTCATCACAATCAGACTTGGCAAGTAGTTTTTTTGTCCGTCATGTGGGAAAGACATCTTTTTAGACTGTCTTATGTGGCAAATGTTTTTTCACAAATGGATCTAGGGTTCAGCCAGGCAAGTGACCTAACAAGAGGGTATCTAAGGGGAGATTTTGCCAGAAGTTTTTCAATAAGGGTGATTGAACATTGTCTTTGTTGCAATTCTGTATCCAAACTAATCTTTTGTTGACACATTTTCTTTTTTGGATAACTTTCACATAGCCCTATCTGCTAGAAATCCACACGTGATCTTTGTATCATCTTTGTGCATGTTTGGGTTTGACCAAATTCTTACAAATTTATTCAGTTTGGAAAATGTAATTATCTTTTTAGTGTGTTCTTCCTTTATAAATCTTAACAGTTTCATTATCACGCTAAAAAGATCACCTGCAAAAAAAAAAAAAGAAGCAATGATCTATCGCTCTGATATTTTATCAGAAATGGTTCAATGTTTTTCAAAACAAACACAAAAATCTGCAGTTTCATTGAAAATGAAATGTCATTCATGTTTGACAGCATTGCAGAGTAGGACTTGGATTGGGGAGATTTTTTTTTAAATTAAGTTCACAAATTTAATGACATCTGGCCAAATATCTAGGAGTCATTCACATGTCCGTACATTTTCTAGCCATCAATGGCAGAAATACAAAAGTAAAAGGATAGGGTTGCCAGATTGAACTTTTAATATAAAGCCAAATAAATTTTAATATATTTCAGCAATTTTCACACAACAAAAGCTTTATTAGCCTGAAAATGTTAAAAACAACATTCTTATTTTTTCAGAGATGTATTTTCTATCCATGTTAAGACATATCAAAGGCACATTTTTCTATTCTATCATTCTTCCCATCTATATTTTCTTTGAGTCAAATTTGATTCTCAAACTTGTTGCTTTTGCCAACATTTTAGATAGTTTACACATAGATAACCTTTGACACAGGATGATGCATAAAGTATCTTTTTTTTTGGCATAAACTTATTTCCACCACCAACCCAACCCACTGACAAGATTGAATGGAATTTTTAATTTAAAATTGACATGTGAATACAATTTCAATTGTTCAAATTTTAAAAAAATAATGATAAATTTTTCAGGACTCTACTAAAATGTATTTTATTACTGTATAATAATTTATTATTTTACTTTCAACTAAAAATTCACTGAATGTAAATTAGATTTATCTTTAATGGAGGTTTTTACTTGTCTCTGATGCTTTTTATCTTTGCTTTTCCTTCTTTTCATGTTGAGTGAGGGCAACAGCTAAGAGAAGACATGCCTTCATATTCTTTCTCTTTTTTCTTTCTAGTCACCTAGATAAGAAAATACAGAAGTAACTAAAAGGTCATGACCTCATTCTAATCAAGGAAAACAACCACCATTCGCAATAACTGCCAAATATTACTGATGACTAAAAAAACATTGTTCTTAAAGGACAATTTTAGCTTGTAAAAAAGCCAGATTTCTGAGATTTGGCATTTTGACATTCATGAATTGGGAAAAATCTCAATTTAGAAAATTCCAAGACTTTTAAGGAGCTTTTGGGTTATTTTCAAATCCTGGAAAGGGTCCTGTTCAGTTTCCAGGACCTGTACAAACTTTGTAAACTGTTTATTGGAATGGTTGGCAAAGCATTGGTTAATTGCCAATCAATTAAAACTTTATAAAATGGTAAATAATAAGGATTTCCTTACAGTTGGTTCACAGTTGCTTTGAATAATTTAGTTAATATTTATAAATTTATGAATAAAAATTGTTTTCATATTTATTTCTGTATAAATTGGTAAATGATAAATTGCATTAGTTTTAATGCAACTGTATTAGTTTTTAGAATATTGTAAATATAAAATTATTCTTGTAAATAAACAATCTAATAAATAACTATAGAGCCAAATAATTGATATCACATTACTTTGTTATACACAATATTTCTAATATACAAAGATGTAGATCAAATATGAAGAAGAAGGGGTAGGCTGACATAGAGGCTTAAATAAACTTTTTATTTGCAAAATAACTGGATTATGTTGTGTTCAGAAGATGTGCAAAATTGTAGAAAAATCAATTTCAGCCTAGTTCACAAATTAAAATTGGTATAATAGAAATTAATTGTAAATTTATCCCCCATCATGGAACCAAAAAATAAACCAACCTTTATATATATATATATATATATATATATATATATATATATATATATATATATATATATATATATATTATATATATATATATATATATTGTATGCAGAAAAGAAAATAGAAAAGAACATGTTGGGTGCATAAGCTGGGGTTCCTTAGTATTTTTGTTTTTTAAGAAGACAGTGCTCCATACAGAAGTAGAGTTTATATTATAATATTTTTTTGTTTAAAAATATGATTCCTTAAAGTTCATACTGAGTTCTCATGTTTTCAAAAAGCGAGAGCCGAAATCCATACAAATAATTATTAAAATTAAGTTGAATTGTGGTGTTTAGTCCCAAATTTCGCTTGAAGATGAAACAGGACTAAACATCACAATTCAACTTAATTTTAATAATTATTTGGATGATTTAGGCTCTCGATTTTGAAACATGAGAACTCTTATGTAGCGAAGGAATCATATTTTTAAACAAAAAATATTATTATAATATATATATATATATATATAAACAGAGATTTGTAGCTGAGGAACTAATATATAGCTTTAAAGAAAGTGGATGTCATATCTAAGGCAGCATTCGGACAACACTTTGTCAAAGATATTCGTTGGCAATATTTGATATAAATGAATACAAAGACAATAAAGTGAATGAGGAGGGAAACGTGGAACTCTACTAAAAGACAATTTTAATTATATAAATTAAAATCGAATGAGGGTGGGGGATGTAAATAAATAGTTCCACAAGAGTATATAAAATAGAAAAAAGGGGAACTCACAGACCCTCCAGCAGACGTAAGGAACGTAAAAAGTGTTCCTTCTGTCTGCACAGACTGGGTTGCTGACACTTAATGTAAATGGCTTCAGAATATCTTTGACAAAGCGTTGGCCGAGAAGTGCCTTAGATATGACGTCCACTTTCTTTAAAGCTATATATATATGTGTGTGTGTGTAAAAAGTGTGTGTGTACATAAATATAAATATGTAATATATATATATTATATGTGCAGTACTTATTAGAAAGCACTCAATATCAGAGATAGAGCTAACATATTTGGTTGGATTGATGTGAGTTTGTGACCCTGGGTTTTGAGATCGTCAGTCAAACTCTGACGATCGCAAAAGCATGAAACCCAGAGTCACAAACTCACATCAATCCAAACAAATATATATATATATATATTTTTTTGTATATTTAGGCACGTTTTGGAAAAAGAAAAAAGAATTACTATCAATTAAACACCCTTAGATCATGATAATCAAAAGAAATTGTTTAGGTTTATTAATAATTAAAAAAACAAAAACAAGAAATAAACACTAGTAGCACTTGTGAAAATTTGTTAATTCTCAGAAAATGTATATATTCACTTTTATGTATTTAGGTTTTATTACAATTCTAATCATTGCTTTTTAAAACAATAAACATTACTGAAGAGTGAAGGTAGTTAAAATAAAAGCTGATCTTAAAATTTTCAAGAACCTTCTTGTAATGATTGTGGGTCAAATCCAGAAATGTGGGAGGCTGTTCTGGGAGCTCTATTGTTGAAAAATGTTGTGAGAGGAACTTCTGCAATGAAAGATCTGAAGATATCCCAGTCAGATTTGGAGTATAAAGAAACTGACCTATGTATAACAAGACATCATAGGATGCTTTTTGTTTGTTTGTTTGTCTTTACATGAATGGTCTAAAAATCCCAAAGTGAGTAACATTACAGAAAAACATTTGTCAGAACAGGTAGTGAAAAAGAAGGCTAAATGATTTGTGTTGTGTTGGGAAAATAAGTAGGCTTATCCATGATATGAGTTATCTTGTATGCACATACTAATTTTTAGCAGTATCCACCTTATCTTCATAATCTTTACTTCCTTGTACCATTTGTTATATTCATGTCACAAACCTCATTCAGGAATCCACTATCTAGAGTGGCTCTTGTGCCTTGTGTTAGGTGAAATTTAGTAAAGAAAGGATTTCAAGTTAGAGATAATTTTAAAGAATTAATTAAAACATACATCAAGTTTATTCAATAAATATTATTTTTAATCATTTCACCCCAAGCAAGGTAATATACAAAGGGATTACTCAGTGTGAGAGAATATGAGAAAAAATAGTATTAAGGAGAGAGAACAATAAAAGAACAAGAATTAAGAAGATAATGATTGACATTGCATTTAATTTTTTGAAGATCAAAGTTGGCTGGAAAGCAAGAAGAGCATTCTACAAGTGAGAAGTATGATAGCAAAGAACTTATGCTTATATCTAATCATTTCAACTGTAAAATGATGAGACCTAGCTGCCAATCTAGTACTTGATAAAGTCTAGGAACCATATTGGAAAGTTTGTCAAGACAATTACTACAAAAGTATTTATAGAAGAGACACAGGAAAGTGATGTTTTGGTGGTGGGAAAGCGACTGAAGCTGAGATACCAGGTGAAAACCAATGACATTGCAGATACTTCTTTCGATTTTATCAAGAATCTCTAAATCTATAGCAGGACAGCAGACCAGATGTGGCAGCAATATTCAAAGCAAGGACGAATGGTAAACATATAAATATGTGAGATAGATTCTGGTGTGACAAAATGAACCAACGTTCATGGTAGCAGACTTAGTAATTGATTCAATATAATCTTTCTGCTTCATGTCAGTGGAAAATGTTAGCCTGAAAAGGTACAATAAGTCATTCCTATGGAGGTTAGCATCAACAAAGTTACAAAGAAGTATTTATCATACTTTCTAATTTATTTTCATTGAAGAATTTTGAAGGCTTAAACATAGTTCCAGTTAAACTTTCTATAAAAGGAGTTTATAAAAATCATTATTTAGACAGAGTACCAAAGACAAAGATTAACTATGAAGTCTATATAAATCACCAATAACATTTTTCATATTAAAATTTACTATAGAATAATTACACAAAACTTACCTTTGTTAACTGCAAACTGAGTTATACCAACACAAAATAGACAAGCTGGTATACCTGTAATAAAGTGAAATATATAGGGGTTAGTATAATTGTTGATTTTGGATTTGTAATTATCTGTGACATTATCTAACAAAGAAACTAGTATATTTATTCAAATTTCATAAAGTTGTAGCTGAATCTATAAAATGAAGATTGACCACTCTTTAAAATAAAACTTGTTAAACATACCAAAGCTAGTTTTATGAAGTAACTTTAGTAATCTTTAACATTTGTGCCTGCAATAAAACTGTGTGTTAACAGGATAGCTTTTTCCTTGACACTGCTATCATTTTAAACTATCTCCACTATCATAGCAATGTTTGTTATGTTAAAAAGCAAAGATTAGAATTTTATTAAAACCCAAACATATGAAAGTGAATTTATATATTTTCTTTTTTCTTTGAGATTATACAACAAAAATACTAAACACTATTAGATTGTTTATTTAGAAGAATAATTTTATATTTATAACATTTTAAAAATGAAAACCCTAAAAATACGAACCAATTAATGTAATGCTATGTTTATCAATTTATAAAGGAATAAATATGAAAATAAATTTTTTATTCATAAATTTATAAAAAAAGGTCTGTCAAACATAAAAATTTAATTAAACGGGTAACGACAAGTAAGAGTAATTATTAATTTTGAAAAAAATGCATTTTCTGTGCATTTTTATACTGCAACAATTCATTCTTTTTTTATTTTATTTTATTGGAATTACCCCAAGGAAGGCAGTAATGCCACTAAAATGCAAGGGGTTACAGGAAGTGTGGAAGAATTAGGAACAGAAACATTAATGATGAGCAGAAAGAGAAGAGGTTAATCAGGTGGACTGTAAATAGTGATTGACATTGCATTTAAATCTTTGTAGATTAAAGTTGGCTGGAAAGCATGAAGCTGGAAGAGAGTTCCACAAACAAGAAGTGTGAGAAAAGAAACTGTTGGCATAGAACTTATGGCTACATCTGGCAAGTTCAACTGTAAATTGATGAGATCTTGACACCAGTCTAATACTGCACTTAAATTCAAAAAGTCTAGGTATCATAGCAAAGAGTACATCCAAACAATGGCTACTTAGTAGAATAGATTTGATTGGGAATTCAAATTCAGCCAACATCTCAAGTGGAACTCATATATACAATCCATTGTTAAAGATGCTAGGAAAATGGTTGGTTCCTTGTGCGACTCCAAAAAGTACCTGATTACTCTGGCCTTGCTTCTATCTTTATAATCAGCCAAATCAGACCAAAAATTAAGGTCTTGCTGCTATATCTGGACTGCAGTTCCCCAATCCTCACTTTCCAGTTGTGACAGGGTTCCAAAGCATTTATGTGGCCTTGTGGGTGATGAATTACTTTCTTACTTATACAAGCCCTTTCCCACAGACACAACATTAAAAGCTTATCTTTACTCTATTGCCATTTCTATGGAAAATGTTTAGGTGAGCTACATTCCCATGTTCCACTAGTTCAGACCTTCCCAGCTGATAGCCACCATGCCTTGTATACAGAACCAAAATCATCTTCATTCTCTTTGTATTCTATGGTAAGAAAAATGGTTGGTTCCTTGTGCGACTCCAAAAAGTACCTGATTACTCTGGCCTTGCTTTTATCTTTATAATCAGCCAAATCAGACTAAAAAATAGGGTCTTGATGCCATATCTGGGATGCAGCTCCCCAAACCTCACTTTCCAGCCATGACAGAATTCAAAAGTCCCTATTGTTTCCAATGATGATTTTATTTTTATGTTCAGTAAAAATACTATACTATATATATATATATATATATATATATATATATATATATATCTCCATCCATATGAAATGAGAACGAATCAAATATAAATTTCAACGTCAGTAGAGCAATATTCTTTATGTAAAAAAAAACATACATATATATATATTTAAGCAGCATATAAGAGGATTCATACCTTTCCCAAGGGTATTAGCACGTAAGTGAATGTAATGGATTCAGATGATGGTGTAATGGATAGCAGCTCGGACATGGGTAAATAGCAGGATAGACCAGGTTCTATAGCCTTGGATGGCAATCTACGGGGGGAAAATATCTGCCTCGTCAGTCATGTATCGAAAGATATATGATCGTCTAAGCATGTATCATGCATAGCATATAACTGACTGACTGAGTCATGGAAGTTTTACAAAACAAGTGTTCTAGTATAAAGGAGCTGACTGGGAATTGGTAGAAATGTAAAATGGTATTAGTATATAAATGTTATATTATATATATATATAAGTAATTTCTCAAGAAGTAATGGATTTTTTTTATTTATAAATCTGATGGATTTGATTACTTAAATATTATTTTTAGTGGATATCCATATTTGAGTAGATGCTCCCTTTATTAAATGGAATATTTATTTATTTTTTTCTACTGTCCTGAATAGATGAGAAATTTTATTAAAGAAAAATATGAGCTCTCTGGCAGGGGGAAGCTGACATTAGATTAGATGTACTTTAGGCCCCACGGTCATGAAGTGTGTCATTGGTCAAGCAAAGTTGAATATTGACCTGTCTCTTTTTGTATTTATTGCTGAGGACATTCATTTTGCTGCTAAATCACTTAGCTTCTTTAGTGTTAAATAAAACAAATGCAAATAACCATGTCAATGGAATTGACATAATGTCTTGATTAAACCATTATCAATCACAATGGGTTTACATAACTGTGCAGCAGCTTTCAATGGAAATTATTAATGCAAAATAAAGATTAAAAGACCAACAAAAAATTGTTATACAATATTTGAAGTATTAATTTTCACAGACTAGACCGTAATAAAATTTAAATAATCTATTTAAAAATCTTGTTAATATAAAGGTGTAATTTACCTAAAAGTTCAAATGTTTTGTGATTTTTTTAATGAGTCAATGAATACTCTAAATCAGTGGTTCCCAAACATTTTTTTTTATCTGGGCTGCATTTTCAGAATGAAAATTTGCTTGCATTTCACCAAATTTTACGTGATAAAGAGTACATTAAAAAAAAAAAAAAAAAAAAAGAAAAGACTGATAGTGTGTTAAATATATAAAACAAATAATTTATAATATGATTAAAATACACAAATTTATTGATAGTTATGAGCTTGTTTTTGATGAGTAATCTCCTTTATATCAGGGTTAATTTGAGATAAACAAACTCCCATCTCTTCATAAACACAAAGAAGCCTTTCCTTTTTTTTTGGTTTTTTATATTTGTCAGAATTGAAATTCTTTGTTCACAGTAATATGTCGTGGAGAACTGAAGCAGAATGGATAATACATTTGAAGAGACACATGGATATTCTTTCTGGTTGTATACCCAAAAAGAGTTCCTTGGTACACTCCTGTGTTTCATTTTTAAGGTGCAATCAATCGAAATGTTTGCCAATTCTTCCTCCTCATCTAAATGTCAGATCTAAACAGCTTGAATTTTGCAAAAGGATTTTTAACCCAATCAAATTCTTTTGTAGACAATGGAAAATAATCAGAATTTTTTCTAAAAGTGTTGCAATATGTTCCTGTATAAGGGCATATGACTTTTTTGAAAGTGTTTCTAAATCTTTGTCTTTCAATCATTCCACCACACCCACAATCCTCTTCCACCACATCTATGAGGCACACTACCCCATTTGGGAACCACCACACTAAATGAAGTATTTTCAAAATTAAGATATTTTTAAAATTCTCATTTAAACCAATGGAAATTAGTAGACATTTTGCAGTCCAAATTAAGAAAATAAAAGTAAACATCGATTAATTTCTGTTTGAATACGATAAAATAATATAATGCAATAATATAACAAAAATGGGGACATTCATGAGATTGCAAATAATCATCAATTAAATAAAGAATATATTATTTAACTGAATGTAAACAAATACAGAAAAAAAAAAAAATTTGTAGACATTTTTGTTAGTTGTTCCAGTGTATTTTTTTTTATATTTAAAAGCTGTCAGCAAAAATGCTTTGAATCATCTTGTGAATATGTTAATTATTGAACTTTCAAAGCCTTGATCCAACCATAAACAATATATCAAAATAGTAAGAGGAAAACATACTTCTATACCAGAAACTTTCCCGGTTACATTCTTGAAGAACTCTAAGTTCTTCTTTGGTCAGAGAAACTGGCGTCTTCTGTAAAAACAAAAACAAACAAGTGAATAGGACATCATAAAAACAACTTATTATGTTACATCCTTAGACAAATAAAAAATTATAACTAAAAATCCTTGAGATTAAGTTGTTTGCATAAAAACCAAAGCCACCAATAGGTTGTATGGCTTGATTACATTTAATATTACATTATTTTATTAGTGACTTGAACAGACCAATTGATGCTCAGAATGTGTTTCAGACAGCAAAGATGAAAGGTACTGAGGCATTGCTTCTTTCTGGAGTAGAATTTCCAAGTCTTGCTGCCCTACTGTAGAGCAGCACACTGCTGACACATTCTCTATAGACTGCAATTTTGGTGTTTGTAGTAAGCCTTCTTGCTACATATTGTAGTTCTTGCTCATACCCAGCCTCTACACCCTTCTTCAATAGTATCAACTCTGCTGACTTGGACATGTACACCATATGAAGGATGAGAGGATTCCAAAGGTCCTTCTGTATGGGGAATTGGCCACTGGTAAGAGAGTACAAGGTTGACCACTTCAAGGACATCTGCAAAAGGGATATAAGGGAGATGGACTGGGATGGCGAGAGGTAGAAAGATGTCACCAACAATTATTCATGCTGGAGATTTACAGGGGACTGGAGCAAGGAGTGGAGAAACAGAGGAAAGAAAACAGTGACATATGTGGAAAGCGTCTTCAAATACATTTGTTGCAATTGAGACTGTCACTCTGATGTGGGCCTGTACAGCCATAACAGATGCTCTGTTGCCACCAACAATCAAAGCATAACTTTGGGCACAGATCCATGGTCTCTTGAGATTGATGGATGCCACAAAATTTTATATTCTTTCTTTTTATGTGCCATATCCTTTCAGGACGTAGGCGATCATGGCTCTCCACCTCCCTCTATCCCTTGCAGCTCTCAGCAAGTTCATTCCCTCTGCTTCCTCCTCCAGACCGTGTTTTGTCATCCACTTGCTCAAGCTTGTCAGGTATGTCACGTGCTACTTTCCCTTGTCTCTTTCTTCCTCTATTTGACTAGTGACTATCAGATTCATTTTTAAGGTGCAATCAATCGAATCCTTCCTCATTATATGTCCCAGAAACTTCAGCTGCCTCTTTCCGATGTTAAGTATAAGCCTCCTGTTTGTTACTTCTCTAACACCTCATCGTTGCTCACATGCTCGTTCCATGATATCCTTAGCATCTTTATGTAGAACCACATATCTGTCACCTTGAGCCTCTTCATCTTTGATGAAATTGTCTAGCATTTGCTGCTGTAAAGAACAACAGATGTCAAGTAACAGCTTTTCCTTTGCTACCAAAGAAATCCTCCTGTCTGTCAATACTCTGTTCAGCTTTTGGAATGTGTCCTTGGCCATCCCAATACGTGTACGGATCTCAGTGTCACACTTACCATCTTCTATCAAGACACTTCTCAGATATTTAAACTTCTGCATCTGCTTGATTCTAGTGTTTCCAACATGCAAATCACATTCTGGGCTCTTACTTTTACTGATGACTGTGCATTCTGACTTGTAGTTTATGCTTAGTCCTTTCTTCTCACTCTTTGTTGCTACCTTCTCTAGATTTTGTAATTTCTCTTCCGTGTCTGCTATCAGTACTGTATCGTCTGTGCATCTTATGTTGTTAAAGTTGCGGCCGCCAATGCTAAATCCCAGTAGGGTTTCCAATTCTCTCAGAATTGTCTCGCTGTATAGGTTGAACACGTCTGGTGAGAAGATGCATCCTTGCCTTACGCCCCTTTCTATTTTTGTATATTCACTGAACTTGTTCTCTATGCATATGGATGCTGTTTGCTTCTAGTATAGGTTCTTGATTATTCTGATTCCCTCCCAAATATATCAAGGTTTCTGAGCAGTTCCATTACAAAACTGAATTTTCTTTTGTAATTAAATACAACACTTATGTGACAAGGTGCTTAGCAAACCACTGGTGTTGGGCAAGGATGAGCTCCAAAGAGGTTTGGTTTGGTTTGTTTTACAGCATATCAACCACAATGGGTTATTTAATGCCGACAAAATTTCCTTTTTTTTCCAAAAATGTATAGCTGGTAATATTTTTTTTAAAAAAATGTATAGTTTGGTTTGTTTTGTGGCATATTAACCTCAATGGGTTATTTAATGATGACAAGATTTGTTTCTGGTAATATTTTCTTTTTTCAAATATTTATTGGTGATACTAATTTTTTATAAAAGTATTTCTGGTATTAAAATCTATTTTACACTTTCATAATGTTTTGAGTCAGGTTGTGGGGTCAACTATTTGCCCATAGCTGGGACCCTAACAGTTGCTACCACCCCAGGTCACGGTGGACCTGGGAACACCAGCAATTAAGAAGTGGTTCCACAAACTCCAAAGAGGCATATCAATGTTTGATAAACTGAATTAAATGTAGAAAGGCCTAGTTTCAAAGTACACAATCGGGAGAATTGTGAAAGAAAGCTTAATTACATTTAATAGTGTGGTGGTAACACAACGACTCAACTGATAGTAGCAGATAGGAAAAACCACGAGGAGGGTAACCGACAAAACAGTGTCACACATCCAACTTTCTCACAAGTAAAAAACCCAGTGATCAGAAACAAAAATGCGCCTGCTTTATACAGCCGAGGACCGACCATGATTTGCATGCGAATGACATGACAACGAGATTTTGCGTTAACTGTCCGAGACCGCCTGGCATAAAACATGGGCGCCGGGTTCTTTTTACTGTTGAGCAAACCGGAGTTTGCACATCGCACAGATTCGCAGGCGTTTCCGAGGTAGGCCATTTTCACAATTTTCCCCACAAATACTTACTGGAATTAAGTGTGAGAAATATAACTAATTAGAAACTTAATGAGGTTCAAGAAATAAACAGATTAAGGGGGTTCTTAATATAAACTAAGAGATAACATAACTTAGTACATATCCACCTACTATATAGTATACACTAACCATAATTACTATGCTAAGAGTTTCTTTTTTCACTTGTAGAACTCTTATGTTCTTGGTTCCAGTCAACTTTGATAACCAAAAATTCATGTGCAATGTCAATCGTTATCTTATGTCTTCTTAATTCCTATTTACAATCTTTACATTGTTTGGACTGTTGTTCTCATCTTTATTGCCATATTCATGACATTTTGGCCATTGTACATTGTGAGGTAAGGACACATGGCCTAAAGAGTTGTGAGTCCAATACCTGGCCACAGCAGAGGTGAAAAAAAACTTGGACAGTTGAGTTACTAAAGGGAAATAACTGAAACTGAGATATCCAAAGGCATGGCATATGGTACTAGAACAATCTACACCTGTGCACTAAATAAAGGGTTTGGTTCAAAATTACAAGAAGTATTAGCTGAAGAAGGCTGAAGTGTACAATGGGTAAAACATTGTGAATATGATAAAGATGAGGACAAAAGTCTGAACAGTGCAAGTAGAGTAAATAGTTACACTACCACATTTCAGAAATATAGACTTTTTTTTAAATTCCTGTTCTTTTATTGTTCTCTCTCTCTCTCTCTCTCTTTAATAGTGTTTTTTTCTCTCATATTCACACTCAGTAACCCCTTGCATCTTAGTGGCTTTATTGCATTGCTTGGGGTGAAATGATTAAGAAAAAAAAATACTTCTATTTTGAGAAAAGATTAGGTGGTACCTACACAAGATTTCTATGGAGAGCGAAAAATCTTTCCTGGAGACTGGAAAATTTACCAAGAAACTTTGAAATTGGAATAAAATTGATATTTTAGAGTTAAGTAATATTTTCCATATTTTTATATATATATATATATATATATATATATATATATATATATATATATATATATATACACACACACACACACACACACACATACATTGGCTTAGCAGCATGGCCCGCATTGCCCGTGGCTTGATTCAAAAATCATACGACTCATACAGCAATCGCTATCACTTGACTTAAAAAATATTTTTGCCCTTCCTTGCCTTTAAAGGAGTGCCCTTTGCCGCCATGCTGATGTTGCTACATGCCTTACTTATTGCCTATCTCACACTGCAAATTTTTTTCTAAGCTCGATAGTAAACATTAAATCTGTTACGAAAAAAAAGAACTAAACAAAATGAACACAAAACGATCAGCTTTAAAAAAAAGACTCGTAACTGGAAAAACCAAATGAAAAAGAATGTTAACAACGAATACTTTTTCACACCCAACCCAGTTCTGTGGAATCAGAATCAACGTTGAGTTTAATCAAACGAATGAGCCAATTGGAGTAAAGTGCCATGCAGATTTAAACTTTTGCCACTTGTGACAAATGCAGCTATCGATTTTTTTTGCATGCTAGTTAACATTCATGTCAGTCAGCTGTTGGCTCTCGCGCTGGCCAGTAGAATCTTCCTGCCTATTTGTGGCAGCCAGCTATAGGTTCTCACTCTGGCCAGTACAAAATGGCTGCAAACTACATGAAAACTGCCGTAGAAGCATGAAAAAAAATCGATTATTTCCACTATCGATAGGAGTTGGGAAATGCAAAGTTGGTCTCGGCCTTCCCATTAACTTGGAGCATGTGCATGTAAATTTTGGTGCAAATCAAGTCGAAAATTGCAGCCGTGCATTACATTACCTACCTTTTACATCCTGCCTTATATATATATATATATATATATATATATATATATATATATATAGATAGATAGATAGATAGATAGATAGATGGTGGGCTTTGGTGTTTTGTCTATATGTTGTGTCCCTTCAGGACATTGGTGATCATGGCTTTCCACAATTTATCTTTTATAGTTCTTAATAAATTTTATCATTTTGTTATCTCTCCTAAATCCTATTCTGAGATCATTTACACAAGCTCACTAGGAAGGTCATGTATTGTTTGCCCCCTATGTTCCCCCTTGCCTTCCATATGTCCTGTGAGTAAGAAATTTTTTAAGCCCTCTTTCCTCATTATGTGCCTTACAAATTTGAACTCTTTCTGATGTTAAGTGTAAGTGTTCTCTTTGTTTCCATTTTATCTAAAACTTCAACATTGATCACGTTTGGTCTATGGCATACTCAGCATCCTTCTGTAGAACTATATTTCTGCCGCTTTAAGTTTGTTTTTCATCTGTGAGGAGATTATCTGGCGTTTTGGTTAGTTTTGTAGAAAATCAGCATGGTGTGAGATGTAGGTCAAACTTAATAGTTCTGGAGATTTGATTATGGTAAAAAGAGACAAGTGAAAGCTGGAGACTGTTGAAGAAAAGAGAAATGCGCTAGATATGAGCAGAACAGACACAGTGGAAGGGTATAATATGGCAGCTTATAAAAACAGGTTATGCATAAAAAAGACATGAGCAAAAGCAAGTCATGTAAATAGAAAGACTGACTCAGATTGTAGTTGTAAGCCTGAACTTCTCTCACATAAAAAAAGACCGACACAGATGACTGTTGTTCTCACATCATTATAGTTATGAATGAATGTCTCAAAGTTCAAATCATGGTGTATCACGGTCAAGCATTAGAAATGGGAAGAGGAAGATGCTAATTTGAAATAGGTACTCAACAACATGAAATTACATCTTATTGATATTTTGTTAAATCTTTTCTGATTTTCTAATTATTCCAAGAGGTGATTATTCTTGAGAAACTGTCACCTTTATTTTATCAATGTTTGAACCCTGACCTTGGATGGTCTTCAGATCTTCAAAATACATTGTGCATAAAGAAGTTTGCTGTACAGTACATTACCAAACCCATAGCTGAAATAAGGAGACCAATTGCCACCTATTGTGTTACATTTGTTTGTTATAATCAGGATCATCTCAGTCATGGTGTTACACATTTGGTGGTTGTGCCCAGAATCATCTCAGTCATGGTGTTACACATTTGGTGGTTGTGCCCAGGATCATCTCAGTCATGGTGTTACACATTTGGTGGTTGTGCCCAGGATCATCTCAGTCATGGTGTTACACATTTGGTGGTTGTGCCCAGGATCATCTCAGTCATGGTGTTACACATTTGGTGGTTGTGCCCAGGATCATCTCAGTCATGGTGTTACACATTTGGTGGTTGTGCCCAGGATCATCTCAGTCATGGTGTTACACATTTGGTGGTTGTGCCCAGGATCATCTCAGTCATGGTGTTACACATTTGGTGGTTGTGCCCAGGATCATCTCAGTCATGGTGTTACACATTTGGTGGTTGTGCCCAGGATCATCTCAGTCATGGTGTTACACATTTGGTGGTTGTGCCCAGGATCTCAAAAGTTTAAGAGTTTCTTCCTAGCCATAGTGTTATACATAAGCAATAAACATCTGCCTATATTTCTAAGATGAGGTATTGTAAATATTTACATTGTTCAGAATGTTGTTCTTGTCTTTATTGTCATGTCTGCAATAATTTGACTTGTATATTCCAGCTATCTTCAGATGATTGGAATTTTGAACTGAACCCTTTATTTCGTCCACTGGGGTAGATTGTTCTAGTTCCATGTTCCATACCTCTTCCAGATGTTTCAGTTATCTCCCTTTAACTCAACTCTCCAAGTTTTTGTTCACCACTGCCATAGCCAAGTATTGAACTCACAACTCTTTGGGTCAAATCACTGGATCAACCAACACTTTTATCCACTGGGCCATGTGTCCTTGAATCTGACAGAATGATAGGATAAAGAACTTGAGGACACATGACCCAGTGGATAAAAGTGTTGGTTGGATCCAGTGACTTGACCCAAAGAGTTGTGAGTTCAAAACCTGGCTATGGCAGTGGTGGACAAAAACTTGGAGAGTTGAGTTAAAGGGAGATAAATGAAACATATGGAAGATGCATGGCACATGAAACTGGAACAATCTATTCTGGTGGACAAAATAAAGGGTTCAATTCAAAATTCCAATCACCTGAAGAAATGTTGTGAACATAATAATAAAGATGAGGACAAGTCTGAACAATGTAAATAATTAATAAATAAGTAATTAATTGTTGTCCCTAAAATATTTAATCCCCTAACTACAATGTTACTTCTAATATTCTATTAATTGTGACTGCTTGGGAAGACCAGCTGCTGTAAGCTTGGATGTGTAGGTGGTGTAATGAATAAAAACCTTTAATTGGAAATCGAAGATCTGAGTTCCAATTCCAGTCAGGTTCATTATATTCACTTATATGCAAATACGCTTGGGAAAGGTATGAATCCATCTCTTCTCTCCCCAGCTATGGATTAATTAGTAGGACTTGTATCACTAAATCATTATTATATCCAAAACTTCTTAGAATCTAAAAATATTGTGGCTTTAATAACCTGTAGTGAGTTAATAAACTATAAAAAAACAAATCAATCATAAATCTTATGAAGGTAAGTATGAACTGGGTTTAAATACAGATCAAATATAGATCGGAATCCAACAGGATGATAGGATAAAGAACAAATAGGAAACGTTTATCAATGTTTCATTTTTATTAAACCTTTATCAGAGAATAAGATTTCGAGAAAAAAAGAAATTCTGATATTTTTATTTTTGTGTTTGATTTTCATTGGTTAATCAGGCTTCATGTGCATTTGACTCATTAAAGCAATGTTAGTATAATTACTGTTCCAAATTCAAGGTTTGAATTTTTAATTCCAATTGTTTGGAAATTCTTTTTCACATCAAAATCCAATTCTTTCCTTGTTTTTAACTGATATTGTTGTTCATTCGTTTTGTAAACAACTTTCTTTGTTTATTTCAATATCGAGTTTTTTGAGCCAATCTCATGATTTGTTTTATTAAAACTTTTATACTTCATCACAGAAGGTTCCATTTCTTTTTAGAGAGTTAAAGTAAAGATGATCAATGGTAAATTCCTGTCATTGAAAGCTGCCAAATTATAACATAGTCATTAAAATTTTGATATTTGACAACCAAAGTGTTTTTTTTTTTTTATTTCCCTATTTTAGATATGACAAACAAAAAATATCTTTAGGTGATGAAAATATACACCAAAAAAAAAAAAAAGTATATACAAAGTTTATTTCGTCATAATTTTTAAGAAAAATTCGTATTTTTAAAAAAAAAAAAAATAAAGCAAAACTGCTCTTTTTTACAACCATTGTTTTTTTAGTTACACTGTAAAAAATGTTATGCAATAATTTAAAGATTTTTAAATGAAATAAAAACAAAAAAAGAAAGATTTAAAAAAATATGCTAAAAAAGGAAATTTGAATAAAAATATTCAGAAGGTTAAAAAGTTTTTCTGTGCACTGTAAGATGCGAAAATTTAAAAAGCTAGATATGCCGGGTGTGTGTTTAATTCTGGAAGAGATGCCGGCTCCACATGGCAACGAGAAAGCCTCTCCAGAAAAAAAACACGCCACTCTCTTCTCCAAATATATGCAATCATTGTCAGCGGGGATTGTAGTAGTACTAGACAGATGGGGTAAGGTAAAGTGAGTAAACAGTAAACTAAACACTTCTTACTTAATTTAACAAGACAGATTAAAAAAAAAATGGACAGAAATAAGAGAGAAATTTGCTCTAAAGGTCAAGACACATAGAATTAAAAAGGTTTGAGGATAAATATCTGGAAAGGAGAACGGAAAATGTTTGAAAATATAGAATTGAGAGGCAATAATCTTTTTTTTTTGTGGCAAAAATACTGCAATCAGAAAGAATTCAATTAGCTAAGGGAGGTTTATATAACATTTCAAAAATTAAATATATTGGAAATCATTTTAGCAGCTTTCAGTGCTTACAATTTATAATTCCTAAATAAATAGATTTTTTTTAATCTAGTTATTTTCTTGGGTATAAAAAAGTATAAAAATACACAATGTAGAAAGAAAGAGTCTTTCCAAATCGTATTTTTCTGAAAGACAATATTGTAGTACATGTGCAACTGTTTTTAGTTAGTTTATCACACATTTGGAACATTTTCGACTTATTATGAATTCTTTTTTTTTTTATAAAATGTTACGAGGAAATTACTTTTAAAGACAAGTACAAATTGTCTATTTATTTAATGGTATTTTTAAAAGAAGAGTAAGACTATTAATAAAAAAAGTGTTAGGTGCACTATGCCCTCATAAAGGACACGCATTTTTCCTTGTTTTCATTAAGAAAAAATATATATTAATTAAACAGGAATAATAAATAATTCACCTGTGAAAGATGTGGGTTTGGTAACTCAGGATGGGGATTTTGAAAATTTTTCCACTGGCCTATTCTAGGCAAGTCATCTTCAGTTCGGCTACCAGGTCCTCCATTCGAGGACATGTCTATGGAAGTCAAGTTTATCTATTTTAGCGGTTTCAGTAAATTAACAAGGGGAAGTAACTGCGATTCCTTATTTAAGATATGAAGAAAATATTGAAAATAAGTAGTCCATGTTTTAATTCAAGTCTTTGATTAATGCAAAAAGACATTTAATGACTTTTCTAGTGTAGTTATGATATTTAGAATATAAGGAGAACTTCTTACATAGAGTTTTCTGTGCCCTAGGCCAAGCTGAACATTTACAACCTGCCATTTTTTCATAATTTTTAGAAAATATGTCTTGTGAAATAAAATTAAAAAAAAATAAATTTGGAACTTCTAACTACTTTTAAATTTATTGAAAATAAAAAAATTAAAATTTTAGTTGTCTTTTGTTAAAAAATATTTTGGAACACAAATCATAAACTAAAAGTGACTTAGTATTATGCATATCATGGCTATTGGCAACCTAAAAGAAAATTTATAAGAAAGGGAAATATAAAATAATTATAAATAACATAATATGACACTAAGTTTGTTTATTGCTCTTTTGAGAGTAGAATATAACAATTTATATAAAAAATGTAAATTAAATCTCTATCTATAAAAGGCAGGATGTGTGTGCGTGTGTAACGATCGCACGACCACAATTTTCTATGGATTTGCACCAAAATTTACATGCACATGCTTCAAGTTAGCAAGAAGGCCAAGACCGACTTTGCATTTCCCAACTCCCTTCGATAGTGGAAATAATCGATTTTTTCATGCTTCTACGGCAGTTTTCATGTAGTTTGCAGCCATTTTGTACTAGCCAGAGTGAGAGCCTATAGCTGGCTGCCACAAATAGGCAGGAAGATTCTATTGGCCAGCGTGAGAGCCAACAGCTGACTGACATGAATGTTAACTAGCATGCTAGCATGCAAAAAAAATCGATAGCTGCATTTGTCACAAGTGGCAAAAATTTAAATCTGCATGGCACTTTACTCCAATTGGCTCATTCGTTTGATTAAACTCAACGTTGATTCTGATTCCACAGAACTGGGTTGGGTGTGAAAAAGTATTCGTTGTTAACATTCTTTTTTCATTTGGTTTTTCCAGTTACGAGTCCTTTTTTAAAGCTGATCGTTTTGTGTTCATTTTGTTTAGTTCTTTTTTCGTAACAGATTTAATGTTTACTATCGAGCTTAGAAAAAATTTGCAGTGTGAGATAGGCAATAAGTAAGGTATGTAGTAACATCAGCATGGCGGCAAAGGGCACTCCTTTAAGGGCAAAAATATTTTAAGTCAAGTGATAGCGATTGCTGTATGAGTTGTACAATTTTTTAATCAAGCACGGGCAATGCTGGGCCATGCTGCTAGTAAATGATAAATAAAAAGTATACATAAAAAAAATTAAATAGAATAGTCTAAGTTTCTTTTATGCATGCTTTTAAGAGAAGTGTATAGCAGTTGCTATGTTTTTCCCACCCATATACACTCCAAGTCATTTTATTCGCCTACAACTGGCTAATAAATTACTACTACATTTGTATAGGACAATTTAGCCATCGCAGTCATTCCTTTGAATCTTTTGGTTTTGAGCATACTTACCTATTCTGTTTAGTACATATGTAGTGATTGGTTAATTGTTAACCAATCACATATTTTTAATGTAAGATCAAGTTTTCCCGCGGTTTAGTGGGAGCCTACCTCTTTTCCTTAAATAGGGCAACTTTTCACCAGTAAGATCCAGTAAGATCCCAGCTGTCAACAGAAATCCACAATCTTGCTCATCACACTGTAATGCACACACAGACACAGAATTTTGTAACTACAAACTTACATTTTCTCTCTGTAACTTTCGCCAAGCAGAACCAACCAGAACTTTGTTGATTCAAACCAGTTTATTCACAACACATTTCAAGCAATTGTATTCTTGGTGTTATTCATTCTTCACATGCAAACTTTGCTCTAACAATTATTTCGGAACATTTATCTCACAAGAGAACTTTCTTCAAAAGGTTGATTACAATCAATCTACAGTTAAAGGGAAACAACTTCCTTCTCTTTAATCTACATTGTGAATAACAAATTATTTCATGCTTGTTGTTGTATTTTATTCAATATATATTTATTGGTTAACAAATTGGAGTTGTTGTTATTATTTCTTGAATCCTGTACGTGGAAGAATCATTAATATAAATAGTAGTAGTACTTATATATTTTGGTGTTCCTGCTACATTTAGTGAATCGACCCAACCCTATATTTGGTACATATGCTACAAGTGTTTTTAAAAAAAATTAATAAAACACAAGACAGTTAATAAAAAATAAATTTGATGTGAAATATTTGTTTATTAAATTTTTAAAAAATAGAATGGCTAAAAAAGAATTACCAAAAATAAGTCAACCAAAGCAGATGGTTTGGGATTTCTTTTTCAAATTTGTAAAAGATACACACCTTTGTAATTTTCCTCCAATCAGAAGGATGACTTCCACACAAGCAAATTTAAAAGTAGAAATCCGTCTAGAGCCTCTTTCAAGACTATATAAAAAGATGGGTTAATTTCAGAAGGTGTAAAAATTTCAAAGAAATCAGAAGGCAGAAAATATGGACGAGAAGGTGTAAATATTTCCAAGGAAATCTGAAAACCAGAAGGCATGAAAATTTTATCCAAAAAGAAAAGCTGTTTCTTACAGAAGTAAAGGAAAAAAGATTTTAAACTATGAAGTGAATCGAACTATGTTCATGAAAGAGAAAAAATTGTAAAAGTTTTGGTGATATTGGTAAATTCTGCCAAAGTAAATTAATCCTTTTTGAAAAAATATGAGTTTTGAACCTTTTTTAAACTGTATTTTTAACCTTTTTTTGAACTGGTCAAAATGTATTTTGGGTTGTAAGAATAATTATTCTTTTTAAAGTGGATATTTGATTAACAATTTTTTGATAATAACAACGATTTTTTCCAGATGCAAATCCTACTATTTAATCCATAGCTAAGGGGAGGAAAGTTAGTAGGTAAGTGAATCTATGAACATTGGAGAGTGGACCAATAATATGAAAGTTTGTGAATCTTCTATCCAGTTTGTTAAACTCTCGGCACTATTATACTCCCCACCCCCATTCGCCATGTTTTTCCTGTGACTATTTTACTTTTCTGATTACTTTTATTCCTGTTCCTTATTTTCTTTGCATCATGTTGAGAACATCAAACATGCATTTTTAAACTTTTTCCTGTTTTTCTTTATCACTGTAAATAATTCATCATTTATTCACTGTCATAATTCACTGTCATAATTCACCAAAAAATATCAAACATAAATATTTTCACAACGGATAAAGTTCTGTGGCAATTTGATGCTAGAAGTTGAAAAAAAGGTGAATCATGAAACCTTTGAGCTCACATAAATTCTGCTAGGTATTCAGAAGACATCCCTGTGTTGGTGGGGCCATTCATGGACTTAAATTTAGCCTGGGCACATTGCCACATTGTTTCAACTTGGTTCATGGTGACTCCAGTGTTGGGATTCACAAAATTCTGAGTGTAGTTGACAGTGTCATGGCCAATGGGGTGGTGGTGCAAAAGTGTAATAGTGCCAGCAGTGATCTAGTATATTTATTTTATTTTATTTTTCTTGTGTTTTTGGTATAATGGGAAAGAGCTATAGAAGAGAGTTTTATTCTATCATTTGTATTTCCCTCATTATGGGCATTACTATATCTGTGATATAATAATAACATTATAATTCATGGAATGGAATGGTTGAAAGGAATAAGGAATGACAAACATGCATTGTCCTCAGAGAGACTTTTATATTATAAGATATACACAAAACTATATATACATATATACATGTGTTCCACACAGAGATCAATATATTAAAAATTTCATTAGAACAAAAAGAAAAGAGTACTGAACTAACTGAGTAATATTGATCCTCCTACATGGCAGTGAATACAGGGCAATCTCCTCATGGATGAAGAGGAAACTTGAAGCAACAGAAACAAAGAAAAGAGTATTAAGCTGTTATGTAATATCGGTCCTTCTACATGGCAGTGAATGCAGGGCAATCTCTTCATGGATGAAGAAGAGACTTGAAGCAAGAGAAACAAAGAAAAGAGTACTGAACTGTTATGTAATATCAGTCCTCCTATATGGCAGTGAATGCTGGACAATCTCCAAACAGATGAAGAAGAAACTTGAAGCAACAGAAATGTGGTTCTATGGAAGGATGCTGAGAATACCATGGACTGAACATGTGAGTAACGATAAAGCTTTAAGGAAAATGGAAACAAAAAGTACACTTATACTTAACATCAGAAAGAGAGAGATGAATTTTATATGGCATGTAATGAGGAAAGAGGACTTAGAAAATTTGATACTCACAGGACATACTGAAAGCAAGACAGACAGAAGCAAGCAGTGCATAACTTAGTGAGCTTGTATAAATGGTTGACAGAACAGGGTTTAGGAGAGATAATAAAAAGATAAATCTTGCTAAGAGCTACAAAGGAAAGGGAATTATAGAGAGCTATGATTACTCATGTCCTGATGGGACACAGCAATAATAATAATAATAATTATTATTATTATTATTGAAAATTTTAGTAAAAATCAATGATAATAATTAAGTAGGCCAATGAATCAATGTGAGTAATAATGTCTGTAGAGAATTTTGTATTGTAATAATCTTCTCAGGTAAAGAAAATATGTCTCTTTCATTTATCTCATGTCCAGGGAAAATAAAGGTTTTTTGCCAAAAGTTCATTTATCAATGTATATCTTGTGTTCAAAGTGTCACCTTTGTGAACTCTTGATACCAAAAAACTTATTTTGAAGACATGATGATCATAATGCTCTTGCTTATTTTGGCTTGCAATTAATACATCAAAAGGTAAGCCATGTAGCACTTTGTAGGTTAGTCATGGGAATATTTGTCTTGCTTTACATAAACCAAACTGCTGTAACCTGATTATCAGAGGCAGACATCTATCTGGTCAATTTCTGCTTAGCAACAGTGACATCACAGAATAGATACCA